GCTGGCAAGAGGGCAGTAGGCAGTGGGCTCAAAATGACCAATTTTCCGGTCCAGAAATCCCACTGCTGAGAGTGCTTCCTTCAGACCCCTGCACACAGTGGGACGTGTGCACAGGGTTTTTCGCGACAGGGCTATTCGCGACAGGGTTGTTTGGGATGCCTCTCAGCAGAGGACTGCTTCATCGTGTGCTGATCCCTTCGGGGAATATTTACTGGGTGCCTGACGTGCGCTGGTCACTCATTTTGTGCATGGGATAGATCATTGAGCAAAACAGAAAAAACCCCGCCCGTGTATCATTGGGAATCTTTTTCTTTTTTCTCTTCTTATTTTATTATTGAAGGACAGTTGACATACAATGATATATTAGTTTCAGGTGTGCAACATAATGATTCCACAGCTCTATACATGACTCAGGGCTCATCATGAGAAGAATAGTCACCATCTGTCACCATCCAGTGTTACCACAATGCCATTGACTGTTTGCTCCATGCTATCCTTTGTTGTGCTTCTTAATGGGGCAAGGGGGACATGATAGACCATGAACTTAAGACAGAAGTAGATGCCATTGTCTGTTAGAAGGGGCAAGTGCTCTGGAGGATACAGAGCTGGTGATGGGGATGGTGGACGGTGGGTGGTAGGGTGGTCAGGGTCAGTTCCTAGAGGAAGGGGAGCAGGGGGGGAGTTGGTATTGTAGAGTCCTGGGACTTTTGGGGTGGTGTGTGAGCTGTTGTGGACTGAATCTTTGTGTCCTCCCCAAATTCCCATGTTGAAGCCTTTACCCCCTAGTGTGGCTCTATTTGCAGATGGGGCTCTAAGGGGGTAAATAAGGTTAAATGAGGTCGGAAGGGTGGGGTCCTGACCTAGCTGGATTCTTAGAAGAAACAACTGAGGGCTTGCCTCCCCAGAGAGGGAGAGAGCTCCACAGGCTCACAGGGAAGTGGAGTATATGCACACAATGAGGAGTGTGGGTCCAAGGGAGGGTCTTCCCCAGACACCAGCCCTGCTGGCACCCTGATCGAGGCCTTCCAGGCTCCAGAACTGTGGGAAGTAAACATCCAGAGCTTAAACCCCGCACGCTCCAGTATTTTGGCAAGCAGCTGGAGCCAACTAAGACAGGAGCCCTGGATGGATTTGAGCCTTAGAGTGAAAGGGCATCTTGCATGGGTCGCTGGTGCACACCTGTACTTGAGGGCATTTGGTGGAAGCAGGAGAATTTCCTGATGATGGGATGTGGTTTGTTTGGCTGTGTAACTGGTTACGTGACTGGTTACCTGAATTAACATGCAGCCATAGGATGAAATATTAAGAATGGTCTTTAGGGTCACCTGGATGGCTCAGTGGTTTGGGTGTCCGACTCTTGATTTTGGCTCAGGTCGTGATCTCAGGGTCATGGGATTGAGCCCCGTGTCGGACTCCACACTCAGCAGGAAGTCTGCTGGAGATTCTCTCTCTCCCTCTGCCCTCCGCCCCCCCCCCCACGCTGTCTCTCTCTAAAATAAATCCAAAAAAAAAAGAATGGTCTTTTAAAAAGGAAAGAACAGGAAGCTATGTACTAATTGGGAAAACTCTCCAAGAAATATTAAGTGAAATGTATTTAATATGCTGCCATTTGGATGAAAGATTGGGAGGGTCTACATCCATATTAATAATGGTGGTCACCATGGCAGGGGGTAGGGGAAGCAGGCGGGTGAGAGTCGGAGAGGCAATATTTCACTGAAAAGCCTTTTGTGTGTTGTTTAACCATACAAACATACTATTTCTCTGTAAGAAAATTTAATAGCATTCTTGTATTTCTTAAATTAATGTTCATAACTGAGTTAGCCCATAATTTTCACAGATTAAATCCCCTCTAAACATTTAAACACAATTTATACAATGTGATTACATTCTTTTTTTTTTTTAAGATGTTATTTATTTATTTGACAAGAGAGACACAGAGAGAGAGGGAACACAAACAGGGGGAGTGGGAGAGGGAGAAGCAGGCTTCCCACTGAGCAGGGAGCCCGATGCGGGGCTCGATCCCAGGACCCTGGGATCATGACCTGAGCCGAAGGCAGACGCTTAACGACTGAGCCACCCAGGCGCCCCTACATTCTTCTTTTTTTAAGATTTGTTTATTTACTTATTTAGAGAGAGAGTGTGCACACAAGTTGGGGGGGGAGCAGAGGGAGAGGAAGAGAAAATCCTCAAGCAGACTCCCTGCTGAGTGTAGAGCCCCATGCAGGGTTTGATCCCATGACCCATGAGATCACAACCTGAGCCAAAATCAAGAGTCGGCTGCTCAACCAACAGAGCCACCCAGGTGCCCCATCTGTAATTACATTCTTCTTTTTTTTTTTTTTTAATTTGAGAAAGAGAGAGAAGGGGTGAAGGGTAGAGGGAGAGGGAGAAGCAGGTTCCCTGCTGAGCAGGGAGCCCAACATGGGGCTCGATCCCAGGACCCTGGAATCATGACCTAAGCCGAAGGCAGATGCTTAACAGACTGAGCCACCCAGACACCCCTAAACACTTCAGATTATAATCACAAATGCAATAGGTCTGATTCACTGAAAGTCTCTAATAGATGCATTCTGTTAAGTGTCCCACAGAGTGGTCTGTGCCCAGTGTGGTGCATGGACACACGGGGAGCCTGTTTTGTTCTGGTCGTTAGACCCTTGCAGGAGTCCCACATCAGGCCTTCTGAGCAGTTGGTCGCTTGAAGCATTAGGAGATGGGAAGTCTCCGCCTACCCCTCTGCAGGAGAGGGAGCAGGGACCCACAGTACATAGCATGGCACATCTCTCTCCTAAGAAAACTTTCCTTCTCTTGTCCCCTCACTCCAAGGATGGGGGGGGGGGTGGCGTGCAGTAGACGTGATCGGTGATGGCAAAACTGGCAAAGGCAGCATGGTCCCTGGTTTTGGCATGAGGGAAACCGGGCTTCTACCATCATTTTTGTTGCTCTTGGCCTTGAGCAGCCCAGCCGAAATGCAGACAGCCCATTTTAACAGTTTATGCACACTTGCCTAAACACACTTTATGCAAACTATCTCTACATACTGAGTTTGCCCCTTCTGGAGTTGCAGGATCATCCAGCCCAGAGGAGCACTGTTTTCCTTTTGGGTCCACCACTGCGGCCACCAAGGTTGGGGACCTGGGCACTTCTGGGGACGTGGATCCCAAATTCACGTCTCTCCCCACCAACTTCAGTATCAGAAGGACCACACTGATCATGCCAAATGCTATTTACGCAAACTGTTTTGCTCTTTACATCATGAAATACTCATCCATTTCCTTTTCAATTAATGTGTTTGGGGTCCTATTTATGCAATCTTTGTCTATCCCAAGATCATGAAGATCGCCTATTCTCTTTTCCAAGAGCTCTGTTGTCCTCTCCTTCATGTTTAGATAGTCCATCGGGAACTGATCTGGTGTGGTGTGAGGTAGGGATCAAGAAACTTCTTTCATTTGGATATTCAGTTGACCCAGCACTGCTTATTTATCACACAATCTTCTTTTTTTTTTTTTTAGATTTTTTAAAAATTTATTCATTTGAGACAGAGAGAGACAGAGAGAGCATGAGCAAGGGAGAAGGAGGCAGAGGGAGAGGGAGAAGCAGGCTCCCCACTGAGCCAGAAGCCCAATTCGGGGGCTCAATCCCAGGACTCTGGGATCATGACCTGAGCTGAAGGCAGATGCTTAACCATCTGAGCCACCCAGGCACCCCATCACACAAGTTTACTACCTATCAAGTCCTGGGTGTACAGAGGTGGGTAAAGCAAAGCCCTTGTCTTCATGGTGAAGGCAACAGACAGGAAACAAGGGGAAAAATATATCAAGGGTGGTGAATGCCAGGCTACATGATAAAGCAGAGAAGGAGGATAGGCCATAATGTATTTGAGCAGCCTTCTATTATTACAGGTCACTCAGGCTGTGTCCAGTGTTTTGCTATTATAAATGGCATTACTGTGGGCATCTTTAAAACAAGTCTTTGGGAATATTTCTGATTATTTCCTTATTAAAACTATGTGGATAAGGACTTAGGCATCAGAGAGTATGAGATTCTTGGTATTTGATACATATTTCCAAGCTGCCCTTCAGAAGAGCTTACCAATTTACACTCTCCAGAGCCCAGTGTTGGAGGGAGCTAAGCTGCCTACGTTTCACTGATTTTGGGGTGAGCCCTCGGGGGACAGTGTGAACATGCAGACTCCCCTCCCACCCCACCCCTTCACCCGTGGTATTTAATTTCCCTAGCAATGCCCTTCCTCCTTTCTTCCCACCCAAGTCCTAGCCAATTTTCACATAATTCTGACCTCTCCCCTCCTGGCACTCAATTATATATTCATATTGTCTCATTATCTATTTATGTGAAGTGAGTTTAAATATTTTATTTATTTCTCAGAGAGAGAGGGAGAGAGAGAGAGAGTGCACTTGAACGGGGAGGGGCAGAGGGACAGGGAGAGGGAGAAAGAATCTGAACCAGACTCCGCACTGAGTGCAGAGCCCCACATGGGGCTCGATCCCGCCACCGTGAGATCATGACCTGAGCCGAAACCAAGAGTCAGACGCTTAACCAACTGAGCCACCCGCTCGCCCCTACTTGAAGTGAGTTTATATGGTGCTTCCCTAGAAGATTGTTTTTCCGAAGACTTGGACACGTTTATACTTCCTGGGGCATGGAGCCAAGTGTAAAGCGCACACGAAGCATGTACTAAAGCAGTGGCCAGAGTGGTGCCCTTCAGAACCGCAGCATACTCACTTCCAGACAGACTTGGGCAGATAGTATTGGTCCCACTTGGATGGGCCAGTCTGGTGTTGTTGTAACTGCACACCTGTGCGATGCTTCAGAACCCAGCACAGATGACCACAAGGACTTGGGGGAGCATCGTTCATGCACACGCTGCAGCCGGAGCTGACCAGTCCACCCGACGGGGCTTTCCACAGAAAGGTTTCTGCCTTAAATGAGATAGAAATCACTGCAGGTTGTGCTGATGGTGACTTGTCTGTTTCTCGAGACAGCCACCAAGAAGGCCCAGGCCACCAGGAGGAGCCTGCTGCATGTCCCCTACGGGGATGGTGAAGGGGAGAAACTGGACATCTACTTTCCCAGGGAAGTGTCTGCAGGTAGGTGGCCGGGCAGGCGGTCCCGCAGCAGAGCTCAGCTGGCCAGGCCACCTGGGCTCAGCCCCCATGCCTTTGTGTTTACAGCCTCACGTTTCTGTCTGTTCTTTCACGGAGGGTACTGGCAGAGTGGAAGGTGAGTCTGGAGTCTGGATGAGCAGGGAGAAAGGGAGATTCGTCTTGCCCTGGTGTACGAGTCCCCTGGGGTTGCTGCAACAGATGACTGCAAACTTGGTGGATTATCACAGAAACGCGTTCTCTCCCGGTTCTGGAGGCCAGAAGGCCGAGATCAGGGTGTGCTCAGGGCCGCACGTCGTCCCAAGGCTCCAAGGGAGAACCCGCTCCTGCCTCTTCCAGCTTCTGGGGGCTCTAGGTTTTCATTGGCTTTGGTTGCATCATTTCCATCTCTGCCTCCATCCTCGTGGGGCCCCCTTGGTGTCTGTGTGTCTGTGTCTCAGATCTCCCCTCCCCCTTCTCTCTTGGATGACCTCAACTCAGGATCCCTAATGACAGCTGCATAGACTCTATGGCCACATTCCCAGGTACTGAGGTTAGGATTTGGACCTATCTTTTGGGGGGGGACACTATTCGACCCACTATACCCGGTGAGAAGCATGTTCAAGCTACTCTCAGTCAGAAGGAAACCACAGTGACTAACCTTCCCAGCCTGCTCAGGACTGAGGGGTTTCCCAGGACATGAGGCTTTCAGTGGGAGAGTCCCCGGGGAAACCAGGTCAGCTTGTCACCTTAAGATAATCAGAGGGGTATTTGAGATCTTCAAGGACACTGTTGTTCCCTAGGATCTTACTAAGGAGCCTGCTATAGGATCTACCACCCCTCAAGCACAGTCATCTTCATAGCTAGATTTATAGCACCTTTACCCTTTGTCATGCAAAGCTCTCTACCCGTCTGATCTTCATTTCTCAAAGACAGCGCCTAAGAGAATTTAGATGTCCCCATTTTACAGGTGAGGAAAGCGGACTTAGAGGTTAAGTAAAGCCCCGGGGTTTCACAGCTAGCATGTGATAAGGTAAGGACAGCGCCTACCTTCTTCCTTACACTACATGGAACCAGAGAGGGGTGGAGCCCTGGGCGGAAAGGACATGGAAGCAGCCTGGTGGCCCAGGTGCCTCCAGTTGTCACATCTTTGTCTCTTTCCACAGTAAAGACACATCAGCCTTCATGGTCAACCCACTGACAGCACAGGGAGTGGCCGTGGTGGTCATGGCTTATGACCTTGCCCCCAAAGGTAATGAGGATGGTCCTGCAGGTTTGAAGGCTGCTGGGCTCTGGAGGGGAGAGAGCCCCCCACGAATCCTGACCCAGCTCCTGCTCTTCGTGCAGGTACCCTGGACCAGATGGTAGACCAGGTGACTCGAAGCATTGCATTTGTCCAGAAGCAGTATCCGTGCAATGAGTGGGTATCACTGCAGATTGTCCTTTTATCGGACACTGAGGGAGGACGGTGATTCAGCCCCTTGGACGCAGCCCAGCTGTCCCCTCTGGCCTGTGGAGCAGAAGGCAAATTGGGAGTCTTTGGTACTGGCCCGATGCATTAGGGAAACTGAAGGCGAATTGGGCTCTCTGCTCTGACCCAACCCAGGGGACTTTACCTGTGCGGGCACTCAGCAGGGGCCCACCTGGCTTCCATGATGTTCCTGACCAACTGGACCAAGCATGGAGTCACACCCAACCTCAAAGGTTTTCATGGGATTGCAGGTTTGGCTGGACAGCCATCACCCTCCCCAGATGGTCTGCACCCGGGGCACAAAATCCCAACAGCCACGGAGGGCTTGACGTGGGGCTTTGAGCCCTGTGAAACAGGCCTGCTTTGTGTCTCTACCCCTGCCCTGGTCTTGCCCCTTTGGCCCTGGAGGCTGGGCTGGCCCCATATTGCCCCCCTCCCCAGGGCTGGCTTGAGGCCCAGTGTGGATGGAGTCTTGGCCCCACCTGCAGCCTGGCCCTCTGACTATTCTTCACCTTCACAGGCTTTTTCCTGGTAAGTGGGATCTATGACCTGGAGCCCATTGTGTATACCACTATCAACGCCCCTCTCCACATGACCTTGTGAGTCATTTGTCCCCTCCTCCCAGAGCTGAGCGTGAGCCTATCAGGGGGGCAAGGGGTGAAGTGCAGGCTTTTCTCTGTCCTGACCCACGCCTACCCTCTGTGTCAGGGAGGATGCTCAGAGGAACAGTCCCCAGCTGCTCCTGGAGGCGGCCGTGACGCGGCCCTCGGATCCAGCCTGCCACGTGCTGGTGACTGTGGGCCAACACGACTCCCCTGAATTCCACCGACAGTCCAGGGAATTTTATCAGGTACCCCCAGCACCCTGCCTCTGGCCAGAGGTTGAGGGTCCTGTGCTCTCATTACCTTCCTCTTTATTTCACCAAAAGGGACCCCAAGACCACGAGCCATTTATTCAACAAATACTTAGCGAGGGCCTAGTACATGCCCGGTGTGGTGTGGAGCTCCCCGACCCTGCTGTCTCCTGCTTTGCTCATTTCTCCACCCAGACACTGCGCCGAGGAGGGTGGAATGCCTCGTTTGAAGAAATCCATGATGTGGATCACTTTGAAATCATTTGGAACCTAACCCAGAAGGACTTCGTGCTCACCCAGGTGGGGCACATGCTTTCACTGTGGAGAGCGAGGTTGCCCCTGCACAGGAGAGGTGGGGAGGTGGGGAGCACGGAGGAGCCACTTTACTGGATCTTTGGCCTCCAGGAGGCTGGGATCCTGATGGTAAGAATTGAGTACCCCATTAGCTTCCTCTACTTCACCCCCTTCTGAAATGAGGTGAGCTGCAGAGTCTGCTGCGGGGCACACAGGTGGGAGCTGCATGGGGCTTGGTGTGGATGGGGACAGGCATCAATCTGGTGCAAGGAAAGGGTCAGCCTGTGTGTAAGCATAAAGCAAAGCCAACTCCGGATAGGAGAGGATGGATGGATTTGGTTCATTACAATTGTTACATGGAGAATCCTTTTAAAAATCAAACATTACAGGGGCGCCTGCCTGGCTCAGTTGGTGGAGCACATGACTATCGATCTCAGAGTCATTGAGTTGAAGCCCCACGTTGGGTGTAGAGATGACTTAAAAATAAAATCTTTTGGGCGCCTGGGTGGCTCAGTTGGTTGAGCAACTGCCTTCGGCTCAGGTCATGATTCTGGAGTCCCGGGATCGAGTCCCGCATCGGGCTCCCTGCTCGGCGGGGAGTCTGCTTCTCCCTCTGACCCTCCCCCCTCTCATGTGCTCTCTCTCATTCTCTCTCTCTCAAATAAATAAATAAAATCTTTAAAAAAAAATAAAAATAAAATAAAATCTTTTTAAAAATCAAATATTACAATTTTAATGCAGAGAATTCTTTTAAAAGCCAAAGAATAAACTGGGGGAAATATTTGCCACAGATTTGACAGATAAAGAATTACCAATACAGTTGGTTTTTTTTTTTTTCTGGGAAAGTGGGTACGTCATTAGCTTCACTTTTTAATCATCTGCCGCCTCAGTGAGGCTTTTAGAGCATTCAGTTTTAACTCACATAGTTAATATTCTTACTATATTAAAGAGCACTTTCAAATCAATAAGAACCATTTTTATTTCTATTTAGGAATAGATTACAAATAGAAAAAAAATGGACAAGGAATAAGGGATAATTTGAGAAAAAATATACATGGCCCGTAAACATGGGGGAAGATTAAATTATACTAGTGATCATAGAAATGTCACTTAGAAGGCCAGTCCTTTCCCACCTGTCATGGAAAATGTTCTAATGATAATTACAGCCAGCCCTGCTGGAGAGGTTGGGAAGGGCTCCTCTTGAGTTCTGCCGGTGGGACCACTGTCTGGTGATAGGGATCCAAACCCACTGGCCCAGTAATTCTGCTGCTTGAAATTTCTCTTCAGGATAATCAAGAAATGCACAAAGGTAGTCTTCGCAGCTTTATTAATACTCAAAACTTAGACACAGCTGACATGTCCCAGTGAGGTTAAATGATGACATAATTCAGTAACAGAATGAAGTTTGTAAAGATGAGTTAGGATACATCAAATTGTTTCGGATGTGAGAGCTAAAGCACAAAAAGAAGTGACCCAGCATATTCCCAGTTTAATAATACATCGACAGCTAGACGCTTGGAGGCATATGCATGTGTGTGAAAAAAACAATTACTAGTGGTGACACACAGGTGCATTTTAAAACACGAACACATATTACTCTTCTTTTTTTAACTGGGGGAAAAACAAACACCCATAAGTGGCATCTTCTCTTGAAAAACCTAAGAATCGGGGTCGTGAGTTCAAGCCCCATGTTGGGTGTAGCGATTACTTAGACTTTAGCCCTGGAGACTTTTTTTTTTTTTTTAAGATTTTATTTATTTATTTTGACAGAGAGAGAGACAGCGAGAGAGGGAACACAAGCAGGGGGGAATGGAAGAGGGTGAAGCAGGCTTCCCGCCGAGCAGAGAGCCCGATGCGGGGCTCGATCCCAGGACCCTGGGATCATGACCTGAGCCGAAGGCAGACGCTTAACGACTGAGCCACCCAGGCGCCCCGGCCCTGGAGGCTTTTAATTAGTAAATTTTTAATTAATTAATTAAAAAACTAATTTAATCAGGTTTAATTTAATTACATAAAAACGTAAACCCACTCTTAGCTCGTGGGTCAACAAAAGCACATATCGAGCCCAAGGTAAGTCTACGTATGGCTGGGGCCTTATTTAGGACACTTCAAAGGACAGGTGGGACTGGGCTGTCATTTTAAGTGACCCTTCGATGCCCAGGAATGCAGCCTGTCTCTTTCATCAGATTCCTCAAGAGAGAGTCTCACAAGAGCCTCTCCAAATCTGGGGCTCTTGTGTCTTTCCTTCCGGCTGCAGATGATTTTGAGAACAATCCTCCATGAGCACTGACGGCGCTGGAGTGTGCCCCCCCCACCCCCCGATGGTGAAGCTCCTCCACAGACCCCACACGCTTCCCCGTCCTGCCAGCCTCCCGCTCTCCCCATGCCCAGGAGCGCCTCTGTTTGCTCCGAACACCACTAAAAAAATCTCTTTCGCTGGCCTCGATGGAAGGATTCCAGGGAAGGTCCAGACCAGTCAACGCTGTGTGATGCCCAAGCTGCCTGGCCCCCTGCCTGCCGAGAGGGCATAACGAAAATGACAGCTCCTGGCGATAAGTAGACTTAGCTCCAGCTCAAAGTTTGCTGACCTTTTCGAAAGATTTTCTCAAACCAGCCTGTTCTGTCTTTCATGGCATTCTTTTGACCACTCTGTCCTGTCCTGAGGATTTCCCAGAGTGTCCTGGGACATAGCCTCGGGGCTGGCCCCTTCTGTGATGGGACGATGACATCCAGAGCCAGGACAAGATTCCTCTGCCCCCAACCCAGGGGTGTGTGCAATTCCCAAGCAGCCAGCCGTGTGCATCTACCACCCTCCCCACCCAGCACCCCTCCCCCACTCTGAATAACTGGCACTCCAAGTGTGATGGAGTATCCCAAAAATGAAGAATAGCCTAGACAGTCATCAGTTGGGGATGAGTACATCCAAGCAGCCAGCAGCCAACCACTATGTAGCCATGAGAAAGAGATCTGTTTACCGGGTGGGAAATCCCCCGAACATACTGTTATATGGCAAAAGCAAGATGCTCAGTGATACAACTTAGTACCATCTCAATGACTTTACACAATATACACCCACAAAAAGATGTTTTTCTCTGTGTGCCCACGTTTGTGCATGCAGGGGAAAGGCCCGGGAGGATCCACACCTAAGGCCTCTGCTCATGTCTGGGGAGTTTGCTTTATCTGTGTTCTTTGACTCTCAGGCTAAGAAGATAATGAATATTCAAATGTAGTATGTGATCTGAAGTGCTAAAATATTCAAAAAGCTTTCAGGATGCAGGCAAATGAGAGTGATATTATAGATGTAACTTGAATTTATTCTAGATCTTCAAAGGAAATGACTCACAAACTGTAGGACTTGATCTAACATTTGCAACAAATTCCGAATGAGACATCTCGCAGCTGCTGGTGGGGGAAACCCAAGCCTTCACCACACCTAGGTGGAGAATTGCCCCCTTAGGTTATGCCCTGTTAAGGCCAAATGCCTTAAAGTAAGCAAAAGACAGAACAAAAATGTGTTCGCCCCCTTGTGATCCTATTTTCATTAAAAAAAAAAGAATACATAAACGGGGCACTTGGGTGGCTCAGTAGGTTAAGCATCTGACTCTCAGTTTTGGCTCAGGTCGTGAGGGTCATGATTTCAGGGTCGTGAAATCCAGCCCTGAGTAGGGCTCTGCGCTCAGCCTTCTCTCTCTCCCTCTGTCCCTCCCCTGACTCATGCACTCTGTCTCTCTCTTTCTCAAATCTTAAAAAAAAAAAAAAAGATACAGGGTGGCACTTGGGTGGCTCAGTAAGTATTTGTCTTCTGCTCAGGTCATGATCTCAGGGTCATAGGATCGAGCCCCACCTTGGGCTCTCTGCTCTGTGGGGAGTCAGCTTCTCCTTCTGCCCACCACTCACCCTGATTGTGCTCTCTCTGTCAAATAAATAAATGTAATCTTTAAAAATAAATAAACATTTTAATTTAATATGCAACTTATAATAAATACACTGTGGACTGAATAACTATTTTTATGGCTTTTTAAAAATGGCGTCATAGGGGCGCCTGGGTGGCTCAGTTGGTTAAGCGACTGCCTTCGGCTCAGGTCATGATCCTGGAGTCTCTGGATCCAGTCCTGCATCAGGCTCCCTGCTCGGCAGGGAGTCTGCTTCTCCCTCTAACCCTCCCCCCTCTCATGTACTCTCTCTCTCATTCTCGCTCTCAAATAAATAAATAAATCTTTAAAAAAAATGGCGTCATGATTTCTTTTTTTATTCAAATATAATTAACATAACAGTGTTCTGTTTCAGGTGTACAATGTTAGGGTTCAGCAAGTGTTTACATTGCTCCCAGTGTTCATCTCGATGAGAGTGCTCTTAATCCCCCTTATCTATTTTGCTCATCCCCCCACCCACCTGCCCTCTAGCAACCACCAGTTTGTGTTCTGTATTTAAGAGCCTGGCTTTTTCATCTGTCACTTTTTTCCCCTCATGTGTTTTGTTTCTTAAACTCCACATATGAGTGGAATCTTACGCTTTTGTCGTTCTCTGTTGGACTTATTTTACTTAGCATAATACCCTCTCCGTCCATCCATGTTGTCACAAATAGCAAGATCTCATCCTTTCTATGGCTGAGTAATATTTCACTGTGTGTATATATCACATCTTCTTTATCCCTTCATCAGTCAGTGGACACTTGAGCTGCTTCCATATCTTGGCTATTGTAAATCATGCTGCAATAAACATCGGGGTGCATGCATCTTTTCGAAATGATTGTTTTCATTTTCTTTGGATAAATACCCAATAGTGGAATTGCTAGATCATACGTATTTCTATTTTAATTTTTTGAGGACACTCCATACTGTTTTCCACAGTGGCTGCACCAGTCTGCATTCCCACCAACAGTGCACAAGCGATCCTGTTTCTCCGCATCCTCTCCAACACTGGCTATATTTTGTGCTTTTTTATTTTAGACATTCTGACAGGTGTGAGGTGATATCTCATTGTGGCTCTAATTCGTATTTCTCTGATGATGAGTGATGCTCAGCATCTTTTCATGTGTCTGTTGACCATCTGTGTGTCTTCTTTGGAAAAACGTCTATTCAGGTCCACTGCCCAGTTTTTAGTCAAACAGTTGTTTTTCTTTGGTGTTGAGTTGTATAAGCTCATTATATAGATAACTATTAATGTTAAATTTCCTG